CTTCCTTCAGGACTCAGTGTCCATATTCCAAAGGATTATTTCTTTTGTAATCCTTTCCATAAGAGCCTGTGCACAAAATACCCACTCACCTTTTGTATAAGAAAATTGTCTGACTCTGACTGGCATGGCTCAGTGGACTGGGCATCGTGTGTAAGCCAAAGGTCGCTGGTTTAATTCCCTGTCAGAGCACATACATGCCTGGGTTGTGGGCCAGGTCCCTGGTTGGGGGTGTGTGAGAAGCAACTGATTGATATTTTTCTTGCACATTAATGTTTCTCTACCTCTTTTTCTCTCTCCCTTCCCCCTCTTTAAAAATAAATAAATAACGTCTTTTAAAAATTTTAAAAAAGAAATTCATCTTTTTTTCTGCATTGAATAATAACTTGAATAACTTTTATAACATTTTGAAAACATGAGTCCATATGTTCTTGGATGTTAATATGCTCAGGAGAAAGCTGTAGTCTAATTGTTACTCTTTGGTAGATAATTAATTTGTCTTTTCTTTCTGGTTGTTTTTGTAGGATTTGTTATCTGTCTGTTGTGGGCAATAGATTCCTTATGCTGAGGTGTAGGTATAATTTCATTTCTCCTGTTCGGGACTCAGTGTGTCGCCTCAGCCACAGAGCTCGTCTTCTGCTCCAGGTCCACAAAATGTGTGCCCATATCTCCTTGTACTTTGCTTCTTTCCTGGTCTTTCTATTCGATTTTTCCTCAAACTCTCATCACAAGTATGCTGAATCTGTTTATTGTACCTTTTGTGCAATAAACAATGTCTGTTTCATATATTTCATCGCTTTATCTTTCTGAGCTGTTTTATTGGTTATTTTCTCACAGCTTTCTTATCCTCTTGAGAATAACTCTTGAGGTTTTAATTTGAATATCCACATTTTAATCTCCAGAGAGTCTATGTGGCTCATTTTTAAAACACTTCTATTATTTTCTTTTAACCGCCCACTTATTATGGACACTAACTTATCTTTATTACTTTGATCTTATTTTATAGGCTATTTCAAATTGATATAATATCCACAGATCTTGTTGTGTTATTTCTGCTATCTGTGATGTCTATTGAGTCTTCCTTATAAGATCCATTGTCTCAGGTAGTTTGTAATTTTTTTTTGTTGTGATGTCATGTTCAGTGGGGACGGCTTCCCCACAGCTGAGTCAGGCCCTGCCCCCTGTGATATAAAGTATCGTTTATAAGCAGTGTTGTTCTTCCTTCTGCCAGAGCCCCAAGGACTTGTTCTGGTCTTTGAACTGATTAATAACCCCTCAACTTGAAATTCTCATTTTGAAGCAGATTGTCTAATTTCAAACCCAGTGCCCACATTTAGAGTTTGAATTCATCATTTGAAGTTTATTGGTACTTCCCTGAGCTAGTGCATGGACTTCTTCTAGACTTCCTTACATGAGGGGAGCAGCCTTTTGAGGCTTCTGGTTTTGTTCAGGGGTCTTGGTCGCAGCTGCCCACCTCTTTTAGACCCAATGCAACATCTTCTTCCCCTGTGGGTGTCAAAATACTACCCCTAGTTGTGTAGCCTGTATTCAATTCAGGACACTCCTGGGCCAAACACACAGCCTCAGTTCCTCTAGCACCAAGCTTATTTTTTGTTTCTGACTCTTGGGAACTTCTTTTAGGATTCATCTTAAGACAGTGAATGTTCTGAGTAAGCATCTGTTGAGTTTCTACCATCTGCCGAGCTCTGTGCTGCCTGTGGGAATATACAGACCCGTATAATGTGGTCACTGTTCTCAACCAGCTCTTCCTGTGGCTGAAGACAAGCATCTCAGCAAAGATAATGGGATGGGGACAGGCCATGAATGACATGCGATGGGCGAATGACTGAGGAATGTGGCTCATGCAGGCAATACAAAAGCTACAGGTCAATTTTGTAAAATATAATTGATTGAAATAAAGAAGTCTTTCTGTAGGAAATTCAAGTGCAATTAAATAATCAAAGCAAACATGGCAGTCTCTGTGACATTAAATGTTACAAGTGATTATTGCTGCCATTCAAAAATACAGCCTTCGGCCCACTAAAATGCCAAAGAAGGTGTTTCTTTAGGCAAATACACAAAAGCGCTTGTTTACATGATAAAGTTCACCATATTTTTCAGGCAAGGTTTTAAAATGAGCTTTGCTTGTCTAGTAGTAAAAATTTGTTGCTCAGCCACTATGACATTTAATAACTTTTCTGAACGTTTTTATTTTATTGAAACTTCACTTAATATAAGCATCTACTTATTTTCAGGTACTTCATTTTATTTCTAAAATGGACACTAATGAAGTTGCAAAAGCAATCTTCTTTTATAATTATTGCATTAAATTATAAGGATTTTTAAAGCGAGAGACTACCAGTTGTTTTCAGTGCAAAATGTTAAAAAATTAAAATAAAGAAGGAAAGAAGGAAGGAAGATATTTTTGGTGGAGGTATTTTTTTGCTTGTTGCTTTTAATCCAAATATAGTGCATCAGCATTTTAATATATTTTTATGTGGAGGGTTTCTTCCTGCACTGAATGAAGAACACTGACATGCATCCCACACCCTTTCTAGCAAACCACGCTACTCATTTTCCCCAGCACCATCTCCATGATAAGGCTTTCCTATAAATTCATATCCTTTCTCTATTTACACATCCCACTACAGTTAATACCAACCCCATATTTGTCAATGGGTGGATGTGGCATTGATATCCAGGAGCATTTTTAGAAGGTCCACAGTGAGCTGTGAGTAAGAGGCAATCATAGGACACAAGACCCACTGAAGACAGGAAAGGGAGGAAACAGATTTGGGTAAAATTATGCCAGTAATTAAACCCAAGATCACCTGGAGTGACTAACCTGGGCTCATTTCCATACAAATAGCATCTTCTAAATAAATGCAAAAATTTTCTTTGAGATATTATTCTTTATGTTTCATTAGTGTGGTATAAATTTTTGTAAACTTACTTTTGTGTCTAGGAATTTATTGGAATACTTAACCCAAAACAGAATAAACTGAAGTAAATGATCACATCATGGTCCAATTTGTAATTTTTATTGAGAGCATCAAATCAAATCAGTGTTCCCACTTTTCCTTAGATCCCTCCTATTTTAAGATCTTAGTCTTTTTTCTCCTCTTCCCCATCGTTGGTTTCTTCTGCTCCCCTACCATCTTTATCTCCCTCCTCTTCTTCCCCACACGTCACCGCCGTTCAGGGTACTCATCTCTTATCTTCGATTTCTTTTTCTTTGCCACCAGCAATGTTTACGAGTTTTCCTATTTCAGTACAGTTCTATCACTTTGCCTGGGCTTAGTGACAGGAGTGAGAAGATTGGAGAAGCTGCCTGCCTTCCTGACCTTGAGAGCAATGATTATTTCTCATAAGTTTAAAAACACTTGCATGGGTTACTCTGAGGCATACCAAACGGGAGAATGAATTGAATCTGTTACATTCTGAATTCATTACCCTGAACCCAGTGCATGCCCAGCATCTTCAGTGAGGCGCTCCAACTGTTTCTTTCTAGGGGTAAATAGGAGCAAGTAAGTTTTCCCAGACACCCTTCTACGTGTTCAGCAGGCACATGTAGACAGAAGTTTCCTGGGCCACCAATTTGTAACTTTGCCCAGCATGTCGCAGGAGCAGGAAAAAGTTCACATGTGTCTGCCCACGTTTGTTTCAGTAGGTGACTAACCTCTGCTCAGAACATAACATATTCCTGTTAGACGCTTATGTGGAAAGATTATCACTCCACATTATTCTGTTTTACAAAAAGTAATTTTTAAATTGTATAATTTTAATAATAATTCTGTGCAATACTTAGATAATATTTTACCTAATTGTGATATGGTATCTGAGCTAGCTTTAAATTTCTCCTAAAGTAGTAAAGTTTTGTATTTTCTGCCCTTAACAATTTCATTGTCATATCTATTGATACCTTCTGTGTACAGACCCAAAATCATTGATTTTAACAATTTTCTCTTAAACAAAAACACTAATCCTAATCAATTAGGATGCAAATACATATGATCTTAATTTACTAAAAATCAAACCTAATGCTATCATTTCCTAATAGATGACTATCGTATTTTATTTGAATGTCCGCTTTTTACACTTCATTTTAGCTTCTCCTCCAGAGTGTAGATCTGATTTGGGTCTGTGGTATCAATATCATTAGAGGTAGCATGCATGAAATGATAACATAAGCACCCTGAGGTGGGTGTCCTCCTCCTCTATGATCCTCCAAGATACTGCTGATTCAGAGCATTAAAGGTCATCTTATTGGGCGACAAATTTAATGTCCCTCCCATCCAAACCCTGCTCTTGTGAGGAGGCCTAGAAGCCAGGCATAAATCTGGCTCCCCTGCTGTTGCTGGTGAGGAAAATGCCTTCCAGACCCCACCGTGCGCACCTCCTGCCACTAACCAGTGATTCAGTGCCTGGCAGCCCCTAGAATCCAGAGTAGTTCATGCTCCCGGACGGCTCTGGGGGAAATCGGAGAAGGACCTGGGAGGATATGGGTGGATAATTAACTTGCAGAAAGTCTCACCACTCTGGGGGTTTGATGCTGGGCCTCTGGGCTGGTTCTTTAAACTCACCTACCCACCTCTCATTTTGTATTATAGAATCTCATTTAATTGTTATATTGGCATTTAACACATTTGCGATGCTTATGTTTTTAAGAATAAAACAGACCCAATACATCCCTCAGAATGGTTTAATTAACTGACATAATTTTTCTTTACCAGATTTTTTTTAAACACAATTTCAGGTCTATTTTAAATGACACAGAAGCACAACTTGTATTTATCATAAAAATTTAATTAATTTGTCCTTATCCTGTAACAACGATGCCAACATAATTCAACAAGGTTTGTATGAGCCCCCAGGGAAGGACAGGGCCTACTCATTGAATCTTTGACTAATATTGATACAGCTTGTGGTTTTAAGTATCATTGAGAAACTTGAGAAAATACACAAAATCACAATGCACTTTTTTCCTTTCTCTCTTTTCCTAGCAATGCAGCAAAAAGGCCTCTGCCTCTCTCCTGTGGCTTTTGAAGTCCTCAGGCATCATCGCCAACCGGCCCTGGCCGCGGATCTCCCTCACGGTCATCACCACGGCCATCATTTTAACCATGGCCGTGTTCAACATGGTGAGTCACGGCTTCCTCCCGGCAGGGAGTTCTTTCTCCCAGTGTCTGTCTTGGTGGGATTTTGAAACCTTGCCGGTAGCTCATTCACTGGCTTTTAAATCGAACATCCACTGCTGCAGCAGCAGCCTCTCTGAGAAAAAGGATGCTTTTCGGTGGGAGCCACCTAAGAGAGGGGGGTCCTCCCCGCGGTTCCCTGCTCCTTGTGGCTTTCGGCCGCAGAAGCGACACTGACTGTCAGCAGGATGATCACCGAGGGGTAACAGAGCCATCAGATTAAGGGCAGTGCAGCGGCAGAGTTGTCCTCCTCTGGAGTATAAAAGTCCTGATTGCAAACATCAGCGCCCATCTGACCGGCTGTGCGATTTTGGAGAGGTTTTATTAAACTCCCACAGGTTGCATTTTCACTTCTCAAAAACGAGAACTGACACTTCTCTCCCAAGGTGGTTTTTAGGGTAAAGGAGCTGATGTTTCTACCACACTAAGGATGGCACCAGGCATTTTGTAAATATTTAACCAATGGTCTCTCTTACTGCATTGATGTTATCATTACTGGCATATTCTTAAAAATAGGCAGGTAGGGTAACCAATGCACATTGAGACACATCTTTATCATTATTTTGACATCACCACCATCAACCATAAAGCATAATGATATTTCAAATGTTGGCTGCTTTATTAAGTATTGGAACTGCAAGGTATCATGAGGTATACAGTACTTGCCCTCCAGAAGCATAAAATCAGGTAGAGAAGATAAAGTTTATGTTTTAAAAGATAACACATAGTTTTCATAAGTGAGATAGCATTCATTCAATCAAAAACATATTTTTTGAGCATAAATATGTGTCTGGTACACCCCTAGAAGCTCAGAACCCAAAGACAGTTGTCTGTCTTCCAGGCATCACTGTGGAGTCTAGGGAACGGACAGCAGATAAACCTGTCACTGAGAATCTGAGGACCACAGGAGGAGCGTGCAGAGAGGAGAAGAGGGAAGGGGTAGCACGCCTGCTATGCAGAGCTGTGAAGGATGAGCAGAAGGAGTTTGGGAGATGGTGGATGAGCGATGAGAAGGAGGGGAGACATCTAACTTCTAAGACTAAAAACAAGGTAGACATTTAGATTGAAAAGTAGTAAAATATAAGGCTGAAGAAGTAGATAAGGATCTTGGATGTGTACTTGGGCTCAATTCTCAACATTATACTGTCGAGCGAACAGCTTCTCTTGACACACACCTAGAGACTCGGGTGAGGGTGATGCCAGCTAGAAGCCAGCTGGGCCGGGTTGCCGGCTGCAGGGTCAGGGTAGCCTGTCGGCTTCACTCTGCCTTGAAGTCGATCTTAAGGACACCTGCAAAGGGGGTGTCAGAGAGATGCCATAGCTTGCTCTCCTCCTCCTCCCACTTCCTACCCTATCAGGGGGTATTTATATGGATTCCTATGTGTTCGGGTTGTTCTGTGTCCTCCCACATGGTCAACCAGGGGACAGGCATGTTGGCTCACCACACCTCACCTGACCACATGTCCCAACTGTTTCTGGGAGCTCCCTTGAGAAAGGACATGAGGCTGGGCCCTAACGCGGGCTGCCCCAGACACAGCCCAGTGAAGGCTGTGACCCCTGCTCTCTGTATCACCCTGCATAGTCTCCGAGCTCTGCTCATGAGAGGCTTGCCCCTGTAGGTAGTTAGAACTGATGGCGTCTGAGGGCAGAGGGCTCAGCAGTCAAGAATACACAGCCAGTGGCTTTCCCTAAGACCTCCTGGCCCTTGGTTTTTGTTCCTATGGAGAGGTGTCTTGATACATCAAGGTCACCTTGGGAACTCCACTGTCCTGGGCCCCATCTTGCTCCTCTGTAAAATTAGTGACACTGAGCTAGTCTCACCGCCTCCTGGACATACACAGCACCTGAAGCCTATCTGTCTACTGCAGGCATGATGACACCTCCCCCCAGGGAGGGGGGGCCCATCTTCTATGTCTCAGGCATAACTGAACCAGGACATCATTTATTTCCAACAAGAGCTTAATCAAGACCGACAAGCAGGCAGCTGGAAAACTGTGCCACATCGGGACTACACATAACTCCCTCTAGAACTACCCTGTTTTAGAGGGACTTTAAAATGCAAGAACCCACGTATGTAGTCAGTGAGCCTGATGCCTGCACTCATGAGGAGCCCAGACCTGCAGGTTTGCTGTGTGAGGACCCAAGGGGATTTTCACTATGGCTCCAGGGCTATCATCAGAGCACAGGGTGCGGAACGTGAGATGAGGGCCACAAAGCTGAGACAAGAGGCTTTCCCAGAAGTCTGTCTGCATGTGTATTAGTAGCCATTAGGGTATTTACCCTTTCTGCACACAGGCAATGGTATGGATATTGCCAAGAGGAGGAAGAAGGACAGAGAGCCATAGGGCAGGGAGCCTGTAGAAACCTGAGTGTGTTTCCTAAAATGCACTCCTCCTGTTCCACTTAGTAACATGCATGTGTGCATTAGCCCCGCTGTTCCCAGGTCCAGGAGAGTGACCAGCAAGCTCAAAGAGGGGTTTGGGAAGTTAAAGCGACGGGAGACAGCTGGGTCAGAAGTAAACTCCGCGATGAAAGGACTGAGGCAGAAACACTGAAGGACCACAGGGCACATTAGCTCAAGTCCTGAGCAATTCTAACAGACACACCGTGTTCCATTAGACCCCAAGGGGTGACTCACACTCCTCTTGCAATTAAGCATCCTTATCCCTCAAGAGTGTGTTCACTCACCTGTGCAGGCGCAGAGCCAATAAAACACACTTCCCAAGAGTTGACCTTCTCCGTTGGCAGCATGTACAAGTTATAAGAACAAGACATTGAACATGACATTGCACACTTAAGAGTAAGGCCTTTTTTTCCTCTATTTTTTTCTTGGGTCCTAGGAAAGTGCCACTCAAATAAGGAGTGGCTACTTAATAGTTACTAAAGGAAGGAATGAATGAACGAACAGGTACGCACACACCCCTTCGAGAAAGAAGCTATTTATGTTTGTAAAATCTGGTTTGACCTTATAAAACCAGGATTTATCACCTAATTTTTTAATGACAGAATCAAAGTGGGAAACAAATCTGATTTGGAAGCTCCTTTTATTTCACATAGGATAATTAGTAATAACTGATGGCAGTTCGGTCACTGTCTAAATGTTTTATGAGCCGAGGATTTAGGAGTTTTGTTTTATTTTACAGTAACTGTGATCCCTTTGGGTAGACGAAATATATCTTCAGTACCAGAAAGATGTCTTCCAGGGCCACTTTTTTCCCCTCACAGAAAAGAAATATATTGCCAAATGAGGTAGAGAAACCTATGGAAGAGACACTAAAACAATGACGGGCGATGTTTGAGAAGGAAGGGAGGCTTTGCTCCATGTCCTGAGTGCCCCCTGTGGTGGCTCGGGCTGGGGGGCAAGGAATAAGTGAAATCACCTCTCCTGGGTCCGCGGTGGAGCGGGGGAGGAAATCAGAACCACTCAAGCAGGTGTCTGCTCCACCAGTGCAGGGGAAATGGCATTTTCCTTGATACTCGGGGCCTGAAATTAGTGGTTTTCCTCCATCAGATGTTCCTCTTATATTTATTTCAAAGAATCCTTACAAAACAGCATGAAAGCCGACAGTTGGTACAGAGAGGAAATAATTTTCCCTTACTAGGAAAGAACTATTGAGCCTCCTTATAATTTCTTACCAATCACAGAAAGGGAAGGGTTTGTTCATGAGAGTGCCAGCTTTGATCACATCTGAGGATTTACAGAGAATGTCCTCCAGCTACTCGCATCTGCGTTCTCCTGAGTTATGACTGCATGAAGCAGACACAGGGTCCTGTGTCCCCAGCCACGCTGTAAGGTGCTGCGACTACCCCTGGGCCAAACACACGACCGTGGGTGCTGATGCCGATTCAGACGCTGGTTAATCCCAACTGGGCACCGGTGGGTTGCCATGCAAGGGAAGTGGGCTCCCAGGTGACACACCCACATTCAGGGGGGAGAACTGCTACTTTTTAACAGCATTTAAGGGGTCAACAGGAACAGCGCAGCTTTTAAAATCTCAATATACAGTGGTATATATATAAATGATAAAACATCAAGTCAGTTTTATTTAAAATGAATTGTGAGGCTTTAACCAGACATTTTAAACACCTGATGTTTCACCCATGTGATATCAAACACCCTGATAAAAAGTGGAGGGAAACAGTTATCCAGCTTTTTATCAAATATGGAGTTTTATCAAACTGCCAATGACCTGTGTGTTTTGTTCCATTTTAGTTTCCAGCTGACTGTTCAGAATCGTGTGTGAGAAGCTCAAATCCTCTGCCATTTTTTTCTGACATTTTGACTGTGTCATTGCTTGACTTCCCATATCAGTTTGCAACTTCTTGTGAAAAACTTCCCAGAGAATAAAATCGCTAACACAGCTTTATGAACCATACAGACAAGGAGTCGGCCATAGTTGACTGGTAGTCTATCTGTACTCCTAATTTCAACCAAATGACAAATATGATGATGTCATCAAGCATAAAATAATATTAAATTGCACACTCATAATTTAATCTTACTCGAATAACATAATTCTGAGGTATTTTAAATTTCCTGATAAATGTAAAATTTAGAAGTAAAGGTAGAACTATGCAGTGTTCATTAGCACTTTATTAGGATTTCTTGTCCAGGATGAGGATATAATTTTCCCAATTATGACAGTTTCTAGAAAGTTAAATTGGTCCAGAGAGGAGTTCTTCAAATAAGAATGATGGTTATAAATTCACTCTGGAGAAAGTTGTAGCAGTTTATTTAACCTGGAAGAGACAGAAGCAAGAGATTAGTAATTTGAATATTTGCCTGGCTATATAAGGGATAACATGAGTTTGTTATTTTAAAGAGACTAAGAAGACAGTATGGGAGAAATAGGTTCAAAATTGTAGTATGATGCCACATAGAATGGAGAGTTTCTTGATTTGAGGGATAGTTAATAAATACTAGAGAGAGTTTGTAGAATGGGGTTAAGGAAGCACTGTTGGGTAGAGTGACTGAAGTTCTCTATTGTTTTCAAATTTAAACCATCATATTTATTGTATAGCCTCATTGAAAGACAAAATTTTCACAGGACATATGTCTACTCATTGTACAGCAAGAATTTATTTTCTTCTCTATAAGCTGATATAACCAAGACATTTCTGTTAATAATTTTAAGATCCCAGATGTTTAAGACTAGTAACAAACAAGCCAAAATGTCTCCTTCTAATTGTCATTTCTTGATTCTTAAGCATTTAAATCCACTTTATTTGGGATCTCTTAACTCTATATTGGTAGCATTTTAGAACCCAATGTTTGCCAAGCTATTATGCAGTTCAATTATTTTTCTAATATAACTTTTTAAAAAAATTAGCACATTTATAGTTCAACCATGGGTGTGACATTTTGGACAAATTCTTTAGTATTGAATAAAGAAATCTACATTTCTTTGATTTTTCAAACCTTTGATTTTATCATATGATATAATGGGTAGAAACATACAAAATACTAGAAACATACAAGAAACTAGAAACACTGTGTCTAGTGTCATTTTTGGAATCTGAAGAGGAAATAAAAGTAGAGTAAACAAATTTACCTAAATAAATTGGAAGTATTTGGCAAAAACTCAGCCATCAAAGGAAATAAACAAAAGGAAGAAAGCAAACAAAAGCAACCATAGAAACTGTACAGGTAATTTTTACATTTTAAGCCTTGAACATATTGTATATAGCTAGCCCTATGCAGAAAATATCATCTAGTTTTATGATTGATGAATTTCTCTCTGTAAAAGAAAACTGGTCCTAGTAATTCTCTGGTCTGTCTTTACTAAACATTCCTCTGACCCTCAGCCATGCTTCAGAAAGTGACTGACCCTTTGTCACTTCAACTGGCTGTACTATAGCTTCTCTGAAAAGAGAGAGACAGAGACAGAGATAGAAACAAAGGGAGACAGAGAGAAACAGAAAGACAGACATATAGAGACAGGGAGACAAAGAAAAAGAGAGACAGAGACACGCAGAGAGAGATCAAGTTTAACCTTGCTAACAAGCTGACACTGTTTTTCTGGGTGCTAATATAGGTGACCATTGCATAGGTACTAATCATCTTTATTTTCTCAGGATTACCTTTTTTTAAAAAAAAAAATTAGGACCCTTTTTCCAAGAGTGATAAGAGCATCTATCCTCCGAATTTTAATCCCCTGTGATCCTGAGCTGCCAGGCTCTCACAAATAATAGATAAGATGTTGATACCAGTTATTGCATTTTGCCCATAAAAATCTTTTTTTTTAAACCAAAAACTCATAAAACTCCATTGACTCATTTAATGTTTGAACCAAGGCAGTGAAGATACTGAAAACACATTCTGAAGGCTCTGATTTCAGAACAGAGAGTTGAGTGTCGTGTCTGTGTGTGTGTGGGGGCGGGGGGTGATGTCAACCTCAAACGTAATTCTAACCAAGCCTCTGCTCTGAGCTTTGTACATTTTTAATTTAATATTTACTAGAGGGGCTTGTGTGTTCTTTAACATTAATCCTGCAGTTCTGTAATTCACTCTCAAGTGTATGGCACAACAGCCATTTACTAACTCAATAGAAGTTCTCCAAGTTTCACAAGCAGATGAAGCTACTAGCACCTGAAGCATAGGCGCTGGGTGGCCCACACGGTCCTGCTCACGGTGCGGAAGGAAGGCAGGCGCTAATAAACCTAGCACCACCCGCGACCTCTTCCTTCTCCTTTGTACTGATGCATTGAAAAATAAACATTTTCTTTGCAGTTTTTCCTGAGTGACCCAGAGAAAGCAATCCCTCCACCTACCAATACATCAAATACAAGCCTTTCTGCCTCAAGTAATCAGGCAGCAATTCTGCGTGCACAAAACTTTTTTCTTCCGGTAAGAGCATTTCACTTGTTGTCGTTGGCTTTTATTGTTTTCCTGAGTGGCTTTTATTGTTTTTCACCTATTTAATGTTATGGCCTCCACTTCCACATCTGTCCTAGGCTTCACTTTGATTCTTTGGTGTCCATACCTGAGTAGGTCCTGACCACTTAAAAACTGCCAGCATTTCATAAGAGAAGTCCAGCTGACTGGCACCTTTGAGGCACATGTGCAAAGTCGCAATGTTGTTTTGATGCGCTCACAGATGACTCTTGCCATTATTCTCTTAACTGCTGCATTTTATAGCATGTATTCCAGCATTTGACATTCAATTACATGTCACTGAATTTCTTCAGAGTTCCTTGCCTATGAATTTTGCAAATTGCTCCAGTGAATGAGTGTCGGCTGCCTGACACCAATGACAGAACCACATCTCCACGTGCTGCAAATACTGTCCAGTGATTATATCCACAAATAGTCCTTACTAACGGACCCATTCTAACCAATGTCCAAAAGGACCTAGATTGAAATTTCAAAACTCACTAATACAGCAGTGTTTTAAGTGAAAAGAGTATTATTTACTGCTTAATAACTTTTTCTTCCACAAATTATTTATGCAAAAAAATGTATTTTGATACTCTCCTTTTCATTTTATGAATAATCAGCTAAAAGCATAAGTTATTAACATTTAGTTTCTGTCTGTTTTGAAGGTATGAAATGTATATTTCGGGGACTGAAATAGATAATTTAATATGCCTACTTTTAAAATGTCCTACTAATATTTTAAACTCCATCAGCAATGGCGATAAAGGAGATTTCTTGTCTTTATTCTTCTTTTGCTGACTTGTTCTGTGGATATTTGGCTTCGACACTATTTCCTGTTTCGCCATTTCAGTTTGCTGGGAAGTTCAGAGCTCTGGCTTAGCGAGGGGAGGGCAGTCTGGCGTTCTTGTGCGGCCGGGGCTGCTGCAGAGGCACGCCGACCAGGGGCCACAGGATCGTCCCTGTGGGCTCGAGGAGAGAGGACAGCATAACTTGGTCTTTTATCTTAGTGGTTTTGGCTTTCATTTAAGGCATTAAAACCCCATGAGGTTTAGACACTATCTTTTCTGTATTAGTTATATGAATGGTTAGAGACGGGTCTCATAATGATTTATTGGCTGTGATCTCACTGTGCACAATGTGGAGCTGCCCCCTTTGGAGAAAGATTTTACCTGGGTGATCTGGCTCCTCCTCCTTGAGTGGATGGCATTAGCACACCTGGTCCGTAGGACAGTGGAGGGAGAGTGTCGTCATGTGACGTTCACAGGGCACTTCAAGTTTAACAATTTAAAGATGCATTTTTGTAGGAAAGAAAAGCTCAGCTGGCAAAGCACTTTTTTTCAGTTCTCTCCATCCAATATTTTTGGGTAGAACAACCACTAAAAGGCAATAAGGCAATCATTCTGAATTTCATTTAGGTGAGTCCGTAAGAGATCTTATTTTCAAAAGAAGTGAATCACTAGAATCCCAAGATAGGGAAAGGTAACATTTACTCAAACTTAATAGATCCTGAGGAAGAATACACAATAGACTCTTTAAAATCTAGGCCACACTTAGTCAACAGGCCACTATCGTTCTAATAATAAGTCCTCAGGAAGAGGATTATGGTGAGCTTTGCCAAGGAAACCCCGTGTACTCACGTACTGTCTGTACAGAAACTGCTTTGTTAACTCACAAGTTTACGCATCCCAGAGGAGCTCGTAACACCCCAGCTTCCTCCTTAACATATTTTTAGGCACATTAGGAAAGCCATTTTGTAGATGTACAGAAAGTGCGCCTTATTCATTTCAAACCCCGTCTTCTGTCACATCTGAGGCTAACCCGGGAGTGGAGAGAGTCCCCTTCACTGCTGTGGGTGGTACAGAGTGACACAATTTCTTCATGAGAATTCATAGTAGTCATCAAAAATCATAGACACAGACGTACTTTTTATCCTGCTGTACTAACTTTGGAAATAAGTGTTTATGTGACATCAAGAATAAACAAGAAAGTAAAAGAGAGCAAGCAACCTAAAAGTTAAAATTAAATTGTTTAAATAAATTCTGTTGTTTAGTTATATCTGGCCACTATAAAAGATGTTGTAGAAAATTTTAATGACATAGAAATGTATATTCATGGTAAGTTACTAGTTGAAAAGTATCATTTAAAAACAACCAAAACAGTATAATTCCAATTTTCTAAAATAATAGTACCAATACCAATAATAAGTAGCAAAAAAAAAAAAAGGCTGGAAAAAATATAGACAGAATAATTAATAGGCTCAAGTTGGATGTTGAGAACAACAAGATCCTTATTATTATATGTGTTCTTTATACATTTTCTAATGTTTAACATCAGATGTGTAATTTCTGTAGCAGAAAAAAAGTAATTTTGAATACCCAACAAATCAATCGAAAAGAATCTTTGCCATGTATGTGCTCTGTGTTCTACCAGATGTTTATAGCATTTCATCAGAAAAATACCCTGTGAGATAGATAGTATTGGAATTTCCATTTTCTAGTTGAGAATACTAAGACCAAAGGAGACTTAAGTAAATTACCCAAGATGCCAGTGGCTGTTCCCTTAGTATTAAAATACAAATTAATTTCATTGATTAACCATATCAAAAGTGCTTGTAACTCTATTAACTATTATTCACTTAGCTAACTTAATATTAACTGACATTTATTTATTTATTTAATAAATATAAACTCAGAGACACAGACAATGGTATGGTGGTTGCCAGAGGGAGGGGGTACGGGGATAGTAAAAGACAAAGGGGGGTCAAATAGTAACTAGTATTAATTAATAATTTAAATATTAATAAATAATAATACAACTATTGACTAATAGGCATACGAACTGTATCTTAACTATGCAAATAAGGTTACTAGGAATTTCAGCCCTAATAGAAGTGAGCTCAGGACCCTGGAGCCAGAGCCCCCGCGCCCCCGGGACTCTCCCTGCAGGCGGCCTAACGCAGCAGTGACAGCTGATCTCCAGGACTCCCCCCGCACCACCCCCGCCTTCCAGAGTTATTCCCCCTCATTCGCCCATCTCACTGTCCCTATCTTCAGGGTCCTAGCCTACCTTTAATTCCAAGAATGCCTGTGTATGGCCTTCAAGGGCTCTAGAAAGTCATTTTTAATAGAAAATAGACCGAAAGCCTACTTCCCATTAACATATGTATTTTCATAGCTATTCCTGAAGTGCAAAAGCTTTTTAAAAGCTGAAGAATGAATTTTAAAATGTGAAACCATAGGCAGGTGTGTATGGGTATCGGCTGTCACGTATTTCAAAGTAGGAGTATTACAGAAAACCTTTACAATCCTATCTACCTCCCTCCCCTGCAAAAAAAAAAAAAAACAAAAAAAAACCCAAAATACATGTACACCTTGATACACATGTTCATATTAGTGGCTCCTGATTCTGCTTTTCATTCGATTAGGCTGAACTGGTCAATAACTTTCATTTCAATAATGGTTTTCAACGTAATTTTAGCTGCAGAGTCCTTTTTAAAGCCAAACCTTGCAAAGAACCCAATTTATAATCATAACAGCAGAATCTGTGCAGAGAAGGAAGCATGTTGGATGACTGCTGCAGCTCATTTCTCAACTTTCCTTTCTTCCCCAAGAGCAGGACTGATGAGCTAATATCAGTGGCCTTCCAGGTAGCTTATGGTAGATGACCTTAGCTGGGGAAATAAAAGTAAGAGCCAGAATGACAAAAATAAGCGGTTCACACATGGCTTAGTTCATACAATGAAACTGAAATGGAGTACTTATAAAGTGGGCTATTTTAAAAAATAGGATTTATCAGACATCAATCAGATCTCTGTTTTATTAAAATTATTAAACATTTTTAGTGTGTTTCTGTTTCAGGAATGCTAATATAGTAGCATAACTCTTTGTCCATAAAAACATCATATTAACAAAAAAAAAAAAAGGCTTTGTAAGAAGGGCAACCAGGGCTCTGGGCTCCAAGCTTTACTTGTCCTCCTAGTGACTTACACGGTTCCCCCCATTTTACATATAAAGACACTGTGACACGGCCAAGCTAGGTCACTGGCCTAAAGTAAGTCAGCTGATGAGTGAAGCAGGGTGGACCCCAGGGGTATCCTGACTCAATGGTGTCCATTGTGGACCATGGGGAGGACAGTGCTAATACAGACTGGCCTGTGCTGCTTCTTACGGACTGAACGGTTGGCAGGCGCCTGCTTCTCCCTCACACTTGCTTGGCTCTTCCCATATCTCCTGGTGTCTGTCCACTTCCAGGGTATTTGTGACTCACCCTGGTCAAAGGTTTTTGTTTTTAAATTCCTTTCTGTTTTAGAGAATTCCTCTGAGACATAATGTCTCTTTTAATAAAATGCCTACCCTCTCTTATTGTTAACAGACCTATCTGTAATGATTTATATCTTCTTAATGAATTAAAGAATTGAAAGGCCAAAACAGAGTTTACATATTATAATTTAAAGAAATATGTAAATGTGTTTTCATTTTTAAGAAGTAAATAACATTGGCTTATAATTACATGTCTTCAATATAGATTTTTTATAATTATTTCTATTTGGCAATATGCATGATTATCTTTATTAAACAAGCTAAGCTGGGCCAGCAAGCCATGTAATAAGTAATTCTTTTCTAAATCCAATGTATGTAGGCATTTACCACTGCTTCAAAGAGGAAAAAAAGGCATTTGATTTCTCAACAAGTCTGTAAGTTGACTAGTGAGCTCGGTAGTGGTCCCCAACCAATCTTAATTCCTGTTTCAGGATTTCTCAGAACAGGTCCTAAGTACTGATCTGACCTATTTTCCTGCTCCAGTACTTTATATACAGCTGCATTCTGGGGTTGATATCCTGCTCGGTGTTCCTGCGGGTGAACTACGAGTTGAAAATGTCAATTATGATGGCAGCGTTGGTGGGCTACAACACCATCTTCCTCCACACCCATGCTCACGTCCTGGATGACTACAGCCAGGTCTTATTTGAGAGGTAACCGTCTTCCTCTTTTATCTCCTTATTTTAGTTCTTTCATGGGATGTCGATAACATGAGTGTGTTGAATAAATGCAAATTAACCATAACACTGTAATTGAAAATCAATGGGTAAGAGTTTCTTTGAAGCAATGGTACAGAAGATTGATCTGTTTTTTTCATGTTTATGTATTTAAGAGAGAGAGAGGAAGGGAGAGAGGGAAACATCGATTTGTTGTTCCACTTATTTATGCATTTATTGGTTGATCCTTGTATGTGCCCTGACCAGGGATTGAACTTGCAGCCTTGGCATATAGATTACACAGAATATGTATTGTCATAAATACTTAGAAGATATGAAGTGATTTAGAGAGATGATTTTGTTATAATCTGTACTATATTTATAAGAATAAGGTAGGGTTTCTCACCCTTAGCACCCTTACTGATATTTTTCTGAATATCAATATTCTTCTGTTGGGGGTGGCTGAGTAATTTCCTGTTGAGGGGCCTTTCCATTGTAGGATATTTAGCAGCATCCCTCACCTCTGCCTACTAGATGCCAGATACAATACCTTCCCCCAAAAGCCGTGAAATCCAAAATTTCCCCAGATATTGCTAAGTGTACCCTGCAAGATGAAATGCACCCCCCCCCCAAGTCCAGAACAACTGTATCAATGTACATAAAAATACTGGAAACTATGTGGATATATTCACAAGTTATAGTGCTAAATTTCTTATGGGAAGGTTCCTAAAATAGCGTTGTATGGAAGAACTGTGACTGTGACAATGTTCTGGTCTATGAAGAAACTGACTCCCAAGAAAAGATAGGACTGTGTTCACTCTCCCAGTCTTAGGACTAGATGCTGAGAGAATGGTCCCGTCAAGGCCACACAGTCGGCTTTATACGGGGGTTACCTGTGATCAAAGTACTCCCATGGGCTCGTAATGAATACTTATTCTCTGCTTGAAAAAAAAAAGTTTTAATCATTATGATATCCCCCATCTCACATTTTACTTGCAAAACAATGTTTTCTATCAAGTGTTAGGTTTATTTCTGGACCCACCAGTCTTCACACTTCTTCCGTGAGCACATTGCATTATCCTCCATAGTATTTCTATATTTCTTTTAATATAAAATAAATGCCTCAAATATTTGCGTAGGTTTGTTGCTCCAGAAAGATGGCCTGTGTTGTGCATGGCCATGCCCTTCTCCTTTGTAGGCCCTGTACCAAGAACAGTGTGTAAACATTCCTTACCAATAAGAGTACTATCAGAAACACAACTGCGAGGCATTCTCTTCGCCTAACTTAATTTTCATCATCCTCCACACCATGAAATTCTAATAATCTGCAATCAAGCCTAGGCTGGTGGAGTTGCAAAAACATATAATTTTATTAAGGAAATTTTATGATTCCTTAGCCAAGATGAGAATGAAATCAGAAGTTAATTTTCCAATAAATTCTCAAAATCACCCACCAAACATGCTTTAATATTTCTGTACTGTATCCAGAAAGCCTGTATCGAATCCCTAAGTAAATGCAGCATTACTGATTTTTATGCGCAGCTACCGATGCTACTAAATTTCCTGTTATTGAATTTAAAGCCACTGAATGTGATACGCAGCCGTGGCAAAAGAATAAATTAGATTAGCAAGTTTCTGATGGGAGAGATTTACTTCTGGGGATCTGAGAGAGATGCTGCCTGTGATTAGAACCCCAGCAGCAGTAGAGAGTGATTTGGTTGAGGAAAAGGCCTTTTTACTTTCAGAGCCCTTTGGTTTCATTCAAGTTCTTTTGTGTTTGTTCTCTTCCTTTGGTCTTTATAATAGCCTTAAAGCTGGCGGGGAAGAGGGCAGGGGGTGCTGATGTTAGAAGCCCCAGGGACCTCCCTCCACATGCGTCAGTAAGCCAGTATCCTGTCCAGGAGGGGTGCACCTATCTCCCTGTTCCTAACCTTGACCTCCAGGTTCTATCACTTCCAGACCCCATTTGTGCATGAGCTGCCACAATACTCCCAGAGTGTTCTTCCGCCAAAAGATTAAATATTACTGATATAATATCAGATTTTCTCTAATGTCAGTTTCAAACTAACCCCATATGACAGACTCTTAAGAGTGGAAGTTTAGAATCCAATCCCGACCTCTCAGCCTCTGTGCGTGTTTGATACAACCCTGCAACCCATGCCAGAGCCACAACCCATCCATTTCAATGTTGACTTTCTCTGCTGAGGTTCAAAAGATTCTCCCGTCAAACAACTGATAAAGATTTCCTCATCCTTTGTCTGGTTTCTTGGGGCTGACACAATTCTTTCAGATATGAAACTAGGACTAGGGCCCTTGAAAAAAACAAAACAAAGCAGTGACCTGAGATGGTGCCTTGAGAGCAGCCATCGCTAAGTCCAAGCCAGAGGTGCCCTTCAAGGAGGGAACTAACTGGCTTAAGGAGGGCCAGGCAGCGCCTCCTTTTCTAAACCATTGGGTCTGAAGTCACATGCTTGGTCCTTTTCCTTTTCTGACCAATTTCTGGTTACTGCATCTTTGCCACCCTTTTTATTCCTGGTGTCCTGGTCCTTGTCCTGGTCTTCTTTCTGAGACATGTGCTTACCTGTGTGGCAGTCAGTGTCCTTGCTGCCCACATCAGCCTCTGGACTGGCCCCTCATCAGCACTGAACGTTCCCATTAGACCTACTGCAAGCTTCTGGCTTTCACCCCTGGATGTGCCTCAGAACTGAGAAGCCCTTCCACCCTGGGAAGGTAGAGAGTACCCCCGTGGACAAATCTGTTGTGTCTGATGTCTACCGACCCCTTTTCTATGGTACATACACTGAGGACTTGAACAGATACTCGTCAATCAAGGAATGAGCAGATCTGAACCAAGCACCAGTGTGGTGTCCACAGTGCCCGAACTGTGCCTGGCATCTTGTAAATGGGTGCTCAATAAACATCTATTGAATGAATGAATTAAAAGCAGCCTGTGCTCCTGAATAATCAGAAGAAGCTAAGTACTCATTGTGATGAAATGTTCACCTCACCTGCTTCCCTGAAGAAGGGTGCTCCTTAGAGATGTGTCTTTTCAGGTTTGGCATCAGATTTGTTAATATCCTTAAAAGTCAAGAGCCAGTTTGTAGAGGACATCTCTGTTTATAAGGGAGTGCCCAGCCATATTCTGAATACACAGTTTGGACAGTGTTGTCGTCCTGTGAGTTCACTGCAATCGTGTTTCGGGGGCCTCCTACAGACCAAATTTAACATTGATAATGGACAAGCCAACAAGATGGTTGAGGCCAACAGGGCCTTTTTTTTTTTTTTTTTTTTTTTGCCAATAGGATTAAGAAAGAAAACAGGAGAAGTATGTACTAAAAAAACTTCATATCAGTGAATAATTCAGAAAATGACACCAAATGCATTCTTACAGATTCACAAATGTGGAAAGCCAACTTTTCAGGGTGGAAAAAAAAAACTACTTTGAGACAATGTGCCATTAAAAATTTGAAGTCTTGCCATTCACAATAACACAAACAGACCTAAAACATATTATGCTAAGTGAGATAAGTCAGACAGAGAAAGACAAATACCATATGATTTCAGTTAGATGTAGTATGTAAAAACAAAACAAATGAATAAGTGAAACCAAACAGAAACAGACCCATAGGTACAGAGAACAGGCTGATGGTTGCCAGAGGGGAGCGTTTAGGGAAGATGGGTAAAGGGATTAAATAAACAGATAAATAAATAAATAAATAAAATGCAAAAAATAAATAAACATGACAAAATCAGTTTCATCTCCATTGTAGTAGTTTAGTTGAATTTAATAGTTTTAACAACACTTTTGTCTTAGTGACTTGACAGGGAAATAGTAATTGCAGTTGTTTTTTTTTCTTTGCAAAGGAATACATACCTCTAAGAGATGTTTTAACAGTTTTGGTTTACATTTCAGTTATTGATTATAAGTCATATAAAAATTTGAAAAATAAATCTGTTGGAATGGAGGCCAGCAACATCCCAATACTTAACATTACCTGCCATTATGTGACCCTGCTAAGTTACCTCATGGTGACAGAAGCTCAGAAATTTCTGGTATTCAGAAGGCCTGGAACAAGATGTTTCCTAATTCTTTGGCGTTTACAACAGCACTCCATTTTGTCTGTGAGGACAAGATACTTTGCTGGATCAGTGAATGAGAGTTCTGGTTCCTGGCCACAGCACTGTCCCCAGAAGCCCTCAGCCAGTGCTGTTGAGGATGCTGAGTGTTCTTCATGGTGATGGTGATGGCGACGATCATTGATATTGTTGGAAGCTGTTTTTGTTTCGAAGACAAATGCTTGTTAACAGCGTCTGCAAGACATTGTCAGATTATTCCTGGCAGCTTTTTTTTTTTTTTGCAGAACTGCAAAGTCTCAAGGGACAAATGCTGTCATTTCATGGGAACCCAGAAATGTGCCTTTAATTTTAAAGAGGTATCAGGGATGGAGAGCTTGAACAGAGGGGATACCCAGGAGTCCGATGGACTACCAGCTCTGTTTAAGCACCTAAGCCTTATAAAGTAGATATTTTGTGGACAGTAGTCTGTCATCTCAGTGGATGCCTGGCATCATTCAGAAGTTCCAGGTTATTTGCTGGTAGAAATGTCTACACAGTTTCAGCTTCTGGGTCAGCAGCAGCTTGGTATAAAGGGCAATGACGGAGTTGCTCAAGCAAGCACGTATCACGGAGAGCTGAGTTAAGCACCTTCAATGTGGAATTGTTCTGCTTTCGCTGTTTTTCTGGTGTCTCATGGAAAACCTAGTGGCTAGAATTCAAGATATGCCTCAACTTAGGATCAACTGATAATGAGCTCACTGAAAGTCCCGAGGAAGAGCTGCAGATTTAATTACTCGGGAGAAAGGCAAAGGGGCAGTGCAACCTCTGACAGCCTGGCCATGTTCCAGAGCACCTGAAATTTCTTTGTAGTCTTCTCTTTTAAATTAAAAATGCATTTCAAATTTGCATTCAAACCCATAACATATCCAAGTTAATACTGA